TATATATACCTCCTCGAGGCCTCTCGAGACACGGTGAGTGGTGTGGAGAGACAGTGACAGAGAGAGGCAGAGGCACAGAGACAGGCCAATTTGTTCTCTGTGTTTCCTGTTGTTGTAATAAAACTCAGCTGATCATCCCATGGAGTATCTTCATTCTTGGACCACGTATTTCTGTCTTTGTTAAATAAATAACAACTATGTTGAACCAAACAAGCTCAGCATTTTTTTTTTTTTTTTTTTTTTGCAAATGTGCGAACTTCTTGGAACCAACTGGCGGTAAATGTTTACAAGGGGCAGCACTTGGTGCTGACTGTGACACTCGGCGTCACACTGCAGCTCAATGAGCTCCAGCTGCAGGTGTTCTGGAGCATCATCTGGGTCCACGGAGAATGGAGAGGAAAACAGCACAATGTCCTTTTCAATGGCTGCAAAATCCTGAAAGCGCTGTTGAAATTCTTCAGCCAGAGATGAGATGTTTTCAGCATACCTACTCATTTGCACACTGATGTTGTTCTGTGGATAGTTGGTCAATATTTCCTGCAGCAATGGGAAATGTGTGGTATTGGGCTGCGTTTGTGACAGTTGCTGTTTGAAAAGTCGCAGCTTAATTCCAAAAGGCTTTGATGTGTGAATACAGCTGGCTTATCACTGCATTTTGCCCCTGGAGGCTTGTGTTCAGCAAGTTCAGATGTCGTGTTTTATCGACTAAAAATCCAAAATCTGTAATGACGGGTTTTGTGAGTTTCACTGAGAAGTCAGACAACAAAGAAGATTTAAGGATTTTATTTAGAAATGAGCAGCTGGACCGAGAGCAGCACATCACGAGGATCCGCAGATCTGCACAAGAGATGATGAGGTTAGTGACCACTTGATGCAGGGAAACAGATTTAGAGAAATACAAAATCACTAACCTTTTTAGAATTCGTGAGGTTTTGACATAACTCTTAAAAGACTTTGAGAGTCTATTGTGAATCCAGTGCTTGTTTCTTCCGGGTCTAGGACTTCGACGTGGGCGGAGGGTTTGAGGGTTTTCCGTGAG